CAAAATATTTGTCCATCACGCACGCTTGGAGACAGAATTTGGAGTCTTTCAATAAAATGACCACGTCCACACTATTTTGGAGGACATTCTCGCTCGTGGGATCTGCCAGTATGTGAAGTTGCAGAAAAGCAAAATGCAGCTAAGTGAATCGTGGCTGTCACGTTGTAACATGGTTCAAAAGCTGTCCAACATCCCATCACTTCCTGAAGATGATGAGGAGGTAAATCAACAAGAATATGTAGAGTAGTCAGCATTTCGTGGGCGCAAACAGTTGCAGATTGCTATTTTGCCCCAAGATGTTGAAGGTATTGAATCAATAACGTTTTGTCCAGACGGTTGGGTAGGGAAGTCGCCGGGATTGTTCAAACAAGCTGACGAGTCTGAGTTGACTTCCATTCGAGAAGAAAGCAGCCAATTGCTAGGGCAACTTCTACTTTTTTCACATTCATTCGGCTATCGGTTTGGAGTCAAGGGGTAGTCTTTACGAATGAGTATGCAGCGGCAAGTCAAATCCCGTCATCTAAGGATGTAGATATGGACTATTTGATGAGAATTTTAGGGATACTGTGATACATGTCCCTATTCGCCACAGGTGAGATGCGTAATTAGTGGAGTGATAATGAGAAGGCGAACATATTTTCCGGTGCATACTCTACAAGTTTAGATTTCATTATGGAATAGATTCATATACATTTGCACCCCCCCCCCCTTTTTTTTTGGTCAAATGTCACAGTCGCTGATGTACAGAAAGACCCTTCAACACGTATTCGACCACGCATAAGTACGCTGATATCTTGCTGGATCCGCCAAGTGGTTGTTTATCGGAATGTTGTAGTCGATAAAGCAAGCATCGCATGTCGTTCACGTTGTGTTCGCCACGTGATCGTGAATAATCCAAGCCAACCAACTGGAAAGTACCGTCTAAAATTATGCTTGCTGAACTGACGACAAACACATCTGAAATACACTCTCACGTGACCAAGGTTACATCATCGTTGCATGGATCATGGCGTATTGTGAACACTAATAGTCGCTACACGTTGCGCTTGCTATTGGAAAATCTATGGACAATTGAATTGTCCGTACGTCGAGCAAACATTTTTTTTCATGTCACGATGCTCAAACCGAAGGACAGACTGCATGAAACAGGGAATATGCTATGAGAAGCATAGTATTGCTGTTAACGGGGTTGATGGCGTGATCGTCAATGAGGTCTCAAATGCAGACGCGTCTACAGCTTTAACTGTATACAGGAGGATAAAAAGATAAGGTTGCTTATGCTGCCCCGACTTGCATCAGCCACGTTCAAACGTGGTCTGAAGCGCCTCAACAACCTTCCTTATCTTCCAAGTGCGATCCTTTTTCGCTAGTTCGTGGTGGTTGTTCGGGTTGAAGTGGAGGTTTCTCGAGATCTGCTGGAATCGGTCTCGGCTGAGGACGGAGTCAAACGTTCCACGAGAAATGGCGCCTTCATCGATGGTCTTCCCAGGATTGGCAAACTTCTCCCGGTTAGTCATGATTGTCCGGGAGATCAACAGGCCGAAGAATCGGCAGACTTCCTGCGGCATGATGATCTTCTGATTTTCCAAATCATGTTGAATGTCACGACGGATTATCTTGGGTAAAGCTTTGTTCGATCTTCTCTTCTTCTTGTAGCGTTTATAGGCCTTCTACGAGCGCTTGGGTATCCTGTCCTTGTGGTATTGGTTTGAGCACAAGGCAATGTGCTGCCAAAGCGGTACGGGCATGAAGTAGAAGAATAATGCTAATGGCGAATTGCCACACCGTAATGCATCTGGGCTCGGTCCCGAATATCCTTGACGTAAGTCTGGATAACTGTCTCGGTTGCTGGCAGGCTCGTAAGGTAACCGCATGTAGTCGTGTGTGTCTGGCTGTTAGCAGCCTCTCACCCAGTTGAGGACACCTCGCGTAGAGCCTTATCCTCGAGATTACCAGTCAGAACAGCTCGCTGGCCTCCAAGCCGCTCCAAATACTGTCGAGTTAGAAGAATTGCAGCGGTGATTTTCATCTATATACCTCCAGTGCCACAGTTTTGTCATCATCAACCAGAAGATCTGGTACGATCTCGCCGTCCTCGCCTGGCTCCTGATCATCTTGTGCTGCGTCATCGCCGGAGTCAATTGTCCCAAAGTCAGCTTCATCCTCGTCTGATGCTGTATGATTCAATGCGTTTTCTCTATTTGCCATGACATCGTCTCTTGAATGATCTATCGAACAAACAACGTGTTAGTTATTCAACCTGTATGCACCTAAGTATACAGCACAGTATGCAGCATAGTATGCAGGATAACTAACCGATTTGTGCGCCATATTCTCCCGCTGAATCACCTTCGCCAAAGACGCTATTATCATCACCAGTGTCGTCGTCTACAGTATCATCTTCAGCAGTGTCTTCATCCGGACTGGTTCCAACGTGTAGTGATGTGGGGATTAGCACCCGTCGAGAAGGCGCCGAGCGAGTTGGTGTCGCCATTGGGGTCGCGACTGCCGGCTGAGAGCCTGTCGGCGTAGTCGTCACTATGGAAGGTGGCATGTACCCTGTGAAAACTATTGAAGCTTTTACGGTGAAAGAAGTGCATCAGTTACCTGAACTAATTCTTGTACGTGTCCACGAATGTGAAGACACACTCGGCAATGGTTATCCGCCTGGTGTCAATGGAATCCCAGTACTCAATGCACAAATTAAGTTCTCGAAATTCAATAATGTACCACGTTCGTCTATTACTGTACGTCCGTTTGCTGTAGTCCCAGCTTTTTCCTGCACTGCTGAAAATCTAGAAGGGAAAACTTGCAAAGATGGCGTCACGGTGACACCACTTGAACGCCCAGGGATCCCCACACAGTCAGAATACGTGGCACTGTCTCAAACCATATCACACTGACAGAAGAAATTACACCGGGGTACATGGCAAAGTTCAAGCCTCCATCTGATACAGTAGCGGAGATGATCCGACTTCTAAGTCAATACAGCTACCTCCGTACATCGCGTCTGAAGAAAAAAATTAAGTTCGAATAGTGGCAAAGGAAGAATAATGTTAGCGTAACTGAGCAATAAAACAGTACTATGCGATAAATCATTTTTTATCGGTAAATCGTTTTTTATTGGTACAGGTGCGTGTTCACAACGCGTAAAGATAGCTCTGGTTCGGGTGCAGTAATCCGTGATGTCACCACGAAGGAGATGAACAGGTCGTTGATGATTCGGAGGAAGATGGGCGTGTCGTGGTGAGGAATCCTGGGTGTGTTGAAGTCTCGTAGTGCTCTCATCAGTACTTTTACCTCCTTCACGTCAGGCTCCGTTCGCTTCAAGATGCCAGCTACTCGCAGCACCGACTTGACGGCTTAAAGGCTCCTGTCGTAGTGGAACTGTTTGGACAGCAGCTCACCACGGAGCTCGTACAGCGTCACGAACTTGATAACCAAAGTCCGTGCCTGCTGGAAGCCTTCGGACATGAGCATGTTCTCGCAAATGGGTTTCAAGTCTGGGCGGATCATGGCACAAGACCGGAAGAGCACCTTAAGGTTCTCGGGAAGCTAGTTCTGTACGGCCAGCATAACCAGGGTTCATAGTGATGAAAGAGCCACAGGTTGGGATGAGCGTGATTCGGTCAGAAGTGCCCATGAATTAGAACTCTCCAACGACGACAGGAGGAGTTCCAGTAGGCAAAGTCTGGTAATTTGCCTCTCGGTTGTTAGGCACAGCGTTGGACACGATGGCGTCAAGAATACACTTGACCTGAGTAGCCACAACATTCAACTCTTCAATATTGATCCCGTTGAACTCGTCAAAGCAGCTCCAAGTGCTCCGGTATATTCCAAAACGTGGATGAATGGCTCACATGGAGTTCACCGGACTCTCCTTGGTACGGCGTTGAGGATCGCCCCTTAACAGCTAACAAACCAATTATCTCACTCTTGTTTTTACTTCAAACCCAAGACTTCTCCTCCGTCATCTCTACCCCATGGTGTTCTTCTCCGCTTCAGCTGTTCCCGCTTCGAGGCCTGCTGCCTCAGGTGACGAACCTTCTGCCCAGCAGGCTGTTCGGCGCGGTGGACGCCCTTACGATCCAGTTTGGGATCAAGTTCTCGTCGAGGACGGCATCGTTTCGTGCTTGAAGTGTGAAAAGATTATTCACACCTCGGGGAAGACGCACGTCGAACGAGTCCGTTATCACTTCGAGAAGAAGTGCACCAAGCGCCTCAAGACCCCTCTCATCACGTCGGCATTTAGGGCTGCATTGTCACCCGTAGTCACTGGTTTCGTTGCTAGCCTCCTCGTCACTGCTGTTTACGGCCATGGCTTCGATCATACCATAGAACGCCATGTCGTCACAGTCGAAATTCTTTGCGTTGAAAAAGAGGAATACCAACTTCACCACAGACGCGTCCCTAAGGCAGTTGCGAACTTATGAGTGCACGAACTTGTGCGCTGACCAATTGCGCTCCGCTGCCGCGCTAGAACAACTGGAAATAAAAACCGTTAAGGCGATATCTTGCAACAGTGGGAACTCGGAGAGGCCTTTCCAGTATTGAAGTATAGTCAACTGCTTTTCCGCAATGAGTCGCTCTTCCAAAGAAGTGTCGCGCGAGCCCCCAAGAAACTTCACTAGCTCCACCATCGTCTCATTCTCCCGGTCGACCCCGTGCCACATTCCGATGAAGTCCTTGACACTTTCCGCGCGTATCTTCATCCATACCCTTTCCAAGGTAGCGAGGATCCAGAATGTAGCCCACGCCATGTGCGTCCCCGTAAATGAAGTTGAAGCGCTGGTCGAGAATCTGCTGGATCTTGCCCAGCTCGGAGATCGGCATCTCCGTTTTGCGGAACGCTTCTGGTAGGGTGAGAAACACGTGGTAAACGTCGGACGGAGGCGTGGTGTTTGTCTCGAACGCTTTTTCGAACTTGGAGATGATTTCCAGCAGCTCGATCGCCTTTTCCATCTTCTTGACAAAGTCTTTTGCCACGACCGTGTCGTACGCGTGGCGTCTCTTGGCTTTCTGCTCCTTGGTCCGAGCGCGTAAAAATCCCCGTGACGAGACAAACGCGTGTAGAATCTTCGCAGAATCATGAATGGTCGAGAAACAGCGCTCGATAGTTCCCCAACGCGTATCCGCTGGCAGCACCAAACTTGCCTTTCCCTCCATGGATTAGAAGGCGCCTCAGTTCAAACCACAACTGCTGACTCTTCTTCAAGAAGCGAACAAGCTTTCGGCAATCTGTTGCGAGCTGGCCTAGCCAGGGCAGCCGGCCAACCAGATCTTTCACTACCAGATGCAGCGCATGGAAAATACAGCCGTGGAAGAAGACCTTGGGCTTCTTTTGCTGAAGCGTCGACCTTACCAGCTGATTCGTGGCAGTGTTGTCGGCCACGACCGCGACAATGCTGACGAAGTCAAGCAGCTCCATGACACGTAATATGTCAGAGGCAAGATAGGGAGCATCGTGCGACTCGGAACCCGTGTAGACAGATTCTAGGAAAATCGTGGTATCCTCCGCGAGCAAGACGTAGTTGATGACGGCTTTGCCATTTACGTCGGTACACCCGTCGGTTGTCAACGTGACCTTCTTGACCTTCACCTTAAGCATCAGGCGCGAGCGGAAGTCCTCGTAGCTTGCATCAAGCAACGAAGTGGCCAACTGCTGACGGCTTGGCAGGATCGTAGACGGCGTCAGAACTTTCAAGGCTCTGGCGAGTGTCTTGTGCTCCACCTTCTTGAAAGCCATACCGATGGTGAAAAACCATAAGGCAAAGCGCAGCTGGAACTCGCGAATCTTGGCAGTACTACTGATACTACCTTCGAGTCACGAGCTAGAATATCAAAATAATATAACTACTTTTTTGTTCTCTTCAGCTTGCATGCAGTTTGTATATCTCATATTAAAATTTTTAAAAGATACTATCCTTTTGTATAGTTGCTCTCTTGCAGTTATAACTATTTAGCAAAGTCACTTGAAAATGTGAACCGGTCCTATTTTGGTATGTCACTGGTCGTCTCACGAATATGTGTCGAGTTTAGCAAGAAACCCATACGCCTTCTCCTGGAGATGCTAAAAGAATGAATATTACGTTTCTTACTATTATGAACCAATAGGATGGTAGGTGGGGTCTTAAACGCTCTTCCTATCGGTTAAATTGTTGTCTTTTATACGTATTTTTCATACTATCATTTCTTCTGTACACATTGAAGATGTTGGCACCTTCAATAGCTCCGACATGTAGGGTACCTACTCGTCCACCGGCCAGCCTGTTCTGGATTATCGTATGACCATGCAACCGACAGTATTTTGTCTTCCACCTGACAGCTCGTCTTCCAACTAGCACAGCCACAGTCTTGTCGCAATCTAAAATTTACTTAATTCTTATCTTAAGATTAAAATTTAAAGGATATTAATTGCTACAATTATCGGTCATATTTGTTGTCTCATATCATACAAAACATGGTATTATATTTCACAATTTTGTAATTGTGCTCAGTGCTATTGCGTCCTTACGAGCTAAATTAGCTGCAAACGCAGCACAGGATTATTTGAACTATTCACTTTGTAATTACCTCTTTAGCGCGGTCATGACACCTCTCTCTGCTGGCCAACGCCACGCTGCCCAGTTCGAGCGCCTGGAGGGTCGATTTTTCCGAGTAGGTGGCTCAAATCTCGAACCGGCAGGAGCCCCCTCTCATAGCGATGACGAGAGCGACGACGACACAAATTTCATCGTACGAGGGGGGCTCCGAAAATCGACAGAGGCTGCAGCCGATTCTTTCGCCGTGCGACAGCTTTGGGCCAAGCGCCAAATTAACAGCGTCGTCTTCTACCTAGTGCAGTGGGAGAGTCACGAAGACCTCACGTGGGAGCCCACACATAACTTACCATTAGACCTTGTGGCAAGGTTCGAGGCGAGCCATAAGCACTCCGTGTGGGCCTATCAGTCCACTCGTGGCAGGCTTCGGCAGCTGAGAGCAGAGTGCCCCACACGCCGATCGACGCGAATTCGCGGTAAGACTGTGCCTTGCTTTTAAGGTTGGCCAAAACCATAGCTAACGGATGTTTACTGGGCAGCTCGCAGCTCCCTTCGTCGGCAACTCGGCTAACATCTGCGCTAGCATCGAATATGTAGGCTCCACTTGTCCCCCAAACACTCTCTTTTAACACTGTAATATATTCTGCAAATTCCATTTTTTGTGAGTTTGAGTGGGTGGGTTGACCCAAAACCCTTTATTCCAAAAAGCAAAACCCCCTGTTTTCCATCCCTGGCTCCATCACTGCGTTATTAACGTGGCAGACGATAGAGAACGTCTTCTAGTGGTGATCCTGCGTGGCTCCTAAGAGAGCTTGCTGATCAGCGGGGTCCTACCGGCATACTCTTCCATAGATAGTCCACATTGACATACATTCACCGATCCTGCGGCGCCCTTGGCGACGAAGCATGAGCTCGTTCGAGCTGGCGACTTTCTCGAATGCAAGCGATTTTTCAAGCTTCGATATATGATTAAAACATTCTTAAGAATACGAAACTTTCTGAGAATGATTGAAACTTCAATTAGTATCCGATACTTTGTGAAAGTCCGTTTAAAACTCCCTAAGTATCCATACAGAGATGCAGCTATTTTTGGCTGTATACTTAATTTTCGGTTTTAAACCGATGGTCTCACATGAAATCGTAGCTGCCGCTAAGAGAACATGTGGCTTCTCAACGTTCAGCTTACATTCTGAAGTCGGCTGAATGTTGAGCGAGATAACACCTGAAAGTATTCCCCTTCCTTAGGTATCGATACCACTGTACATTAGTATTGACTCTTCATGAATTTGTGGTAATTACTCGATAGAAATACCCC